CTATTTTTAATTTTCCTAATGATTTTTCTCTAAATTCTTCTTCTAATATCTTTGGTAATATATATTTTTTTAAATTCATCATCCATGCTTCCTGTTTCTACTACTATATTTTCTTTTTCTATATATTTCTTTCCTATTCGAGTCATTTCTTTTTCTAAAAATTTTTTTTTATCTATTTTTTTATCTTTATTCTTATTATTTTCTTTTAATTCTCTAATCTCAATTTTTAATATATTTATATCATTTCTTGTTTCTTTCACTTCATTTCTCAAATCTTGTCCATCATATATTAACATTTTTATTAATAATTTTAATTCTTCCATATATTCGCTTATTGACATCTTAATTTTTTCTTATTTCTAACTCATAAGTTAATTTGCATATTTTATCTTATTTTTATCTATTATTTTTCTAAATCTTTTCTCAACTGTTTCTGGATCTACTAATTCTTCTTTTACTATAGTGAAATATTTGCTCTCAAATCTTAATCTTTCACATTTTAATTTTGTTAATTGTCTATTCCTTGATGTTCTCATTCCTTCTAGTATTAACATTATATTTCTTATTTCGTCTTGTATTTTATCCATTTTTAAAAGTAATTTATTCAATTTTTGATGTGTATTATCAATTATACTCATATTTTTCTTTATAATACAAATTATTTTCTTCATCTTCATATATATTAATAATTTTTTCTTATGTATAAATATCTTTTATTTGTTCTATTATTAATTTTTCTAATATTTTTTCCTTTATTTTTTTAGGAAGTTCTTTAATTATTGTCAAAGTCATTATTTTTAATTTATTATAGATATGTTTTAAAAATATATAACTACCTTTTTCTTCTTCTAAATACCAATAATTATCTATTTTTCTTATTTTAATTTTCATAATCACTATGACTCTGATACCAATTGGGGGGCTACTTAGAGCGAACAAATTAAATCAAATAAATCAAATAAAAATTATCAAATTTCAACCAACATTTAATTTTGAGGACTAAAATAGAAAATTTCTATATTATGATGCCTTGTTATGTAATATTCAAATGGAGGGCATTTTTTGGATGCAAATTGCCTAAGGGTCATTTTGGAAAAGTAATGCTTTTGAAAAGGTTATTTCCATATATTTCCCTGATTCAACTGACAGATCACGTGGCCAACCGCTAAGTCATTGTTGGGCTGAAAATGTAGATTTAAAAAAAAAAAATGTTACTTAAAATAAATTTTGAGTTAAAATATCTAATAAGTGTAAAGTTAATGCCTAATAAGTTGAAATTAATTCAACTGATTTTTAATTATTTCAAGCTATGAAAAATATTATTTTTTTAGTATTTTTCGCCGTCTCTATATTACTACCTGAATTTTTTTTAATTTCTTTTATCATTTATTTTTATCTTTTACATCGTTTTATAGTTTGCTATTTATTATCTTCCTCAAATGGTTTTATTATAACATTAAAATCATATTGAATTAATCAAATATTAAAATACGTATAATGTATTAAGGTAACAATTTTTTATAATTATATTTCAAAATTATTATTAACTAAGGTATCAAATGTTATTATTCAATTTATTTTGAGTAATAGCACAACAATTAGCAGTGACAGTGGTTTACTGGTTGATTTTTATGGAAGAGTCCATGTTTTGAAACTCTAATCCAAAACGTTTTAAAAATTGGGTCATGCTACATGTACACTTTCGGTGTATGTGCGAGCCATCCCTCCATGTAAAGGGGTCCTTTATATGTATAGAAAAAGTTTTGAGGACCCAATTTCTTATGTACAAGACAACAGCCGAAGAATGTGCGTCACCTGTTGGGCAGATCGTGAATTCCCTTCTTTTTTTTTTTTTTTTTATTTTTTATTTTATTTTATTTTATTTTTTATTTTTTTTGGGTTTGGAGAAGAAGCGAGTTAGTGACCACATGATCACCCTATTAATGATCGTAAAGTTTGAAGACAAACCATTTCCTTTGTTAATGCTCGATTGAGGCATAATTAAATAGGAATTCCGAAAAATCAACGTGTTCTCGTCAAAATATCCTTTCTCCACATTTCTTGGAACTTATGCCATACTTGGAGGTGGATACGAACCATCAAACAAGCCATTTGCCGTTGAACTCTTAAGCTCAATCCGGCCAACCAAGTGACCCAATCATGGTGCCGACAAGGGAACTGATCCTAACCTGTCAAAATCAAGTGGGTTTTGTCGCGAACTGGAAACCCGATTAGCCTTGATCCGCCAATTAAATTGTGGTTGAACAGAATTATTAAGGATAAGACTATTCGTACACTTTCCGTAATACATAAAGTCTTACACCCCTCACATGGAGGGGCCACACATAATTATTGTCCCAGATTCATAATTATAAACATGTGCATGCACATATATACTGGAAAGTGGAAACTGTCCCAGATTCATAAATAAATATTCCTCAAAAATTAATAATGAGCAAGATATTAGGCAAAAATAATTTATGGGGAAGGAGATGAATATTTGTTTCAGGAAATCATGGCACAACCAAGGGAAGACGATGTAAATGTGATCATCAATCGACTAACTCAACTAGTTCAGACACAATCGAAACAATTAACCAGTTTAGTAAATCAAAGTGGCAATGGGTCAACACCTGTCATGTGGCGATTGGTTTTGCCAAGTTACCTGCCAACTTAAGAGGGCTCAACTAACTTGGTGGAGGCCGAAAATTGGTTCAAAATAATGGAAAGAATGTCAAGTGCCGGATGAAGAGAAAGTCAACTATGAATCTTTCATCCTTAGAGGAGGTGCTAGATAATGGTGGTTTACCATCGAATATCTAGGAAATGTGTCCCCCAAATGGAGGGCATTTTTGGGATGCAAATTGCCTAAGGGTCATTTTGGAAAAGTAATCCTTTTGAAAAGGTTATTTTCATATATTTCCCTGATTCAACTGACAGATCACGTGGCCAACCGCTAAGTCATTGCTGGGCTGAAAATGTAGATTTAAAAAAAAAAAATGTTACTTAAAATAAATTTTGAGTTAAAATATCTAATAAGTGTAAAGTTAATTAGATGACATGGGAAAGATTCTGTGAGATATTTACTCTGCCAATGTCAAAAATTAGAAAATGGGAGAATTCATTCGCCATTGCCAAGGACCTATGACGGTTGGAGAATACATTAAGAAATTCCAAGAATTATCTCGATTTGCACCACATATGGGATCAATGGAGGCACTAAAGATTGACTGATTTCTGAAAGGACTACAACCAGAATTAAGCAAGGACGTGCAAATGGGTGGAATTGGAGGGTGTACTTTACAGCCATGGACGACCGAGCTCTTCGGCAGAACAAGCTGAGCAGAAAATTATACGAGCACGGGAATTTCAAAATGGACGTTCAATGGTAGCCAAGACTAAACTGGACAGATAAGTTTCAGAAGAAGAGTTACTATCCAGGGACGACGTAACCAACAATGCCCGATGGACACCAAGGAATCCATTGCTAGAGCATATATTATGGAATAAATTTTGATTGAACTCATAAATGACAAAGTCCATGTTTTGAAACTCTAATCCAAAACGTTTTAAAAATTGGGTCATGCTACATGTACACTTTCGGTGTATGTGCGAGCCATCCCTCCATGTAAAGGGGTCCTTTATATGTATAGAAAAAGTTTTGAGGACCCAATTTCTTATGTACAAGACAACAGCCGAAGAATGTGCGTCACCTGTTGGGCAGATCGTGAATTCCCTTCTTTTTTTTTTTTTTTTTTTTTTTTTTTTTTTTTTTTTTTTTTTTTTTTTTTTTTGGGTTTGAAAATGGTAATCTATCACTGTATGATGTTTGTTGATGGTCTCCATTTTTGTACTATTTGAGTTTCTGTTTCTTCCTTGGACCTTACAGATAGTAAATTGGATAAAGAGGAGACTAAGAACAATGGTATGATGTTCTTCTCTTCCTCTCAGTTTACTTTCATTTACATCTTCAATTACCACCTTCAATTTCCTTTGGAAGATGAACTCCATTTGATTATTTTGAAAGGGCCACACATAATTATTGTCCCAGATTCATAATTATAAACATGTGCATGCACATATATACTGGAAAGTGGAAACTGTCCCAGATTCATAAATAAATATTCCTCAAAAATTAATAATGAGCAAGATATTAGGCAAAAATAATTTATGGGGAAGGAGATGAATATTTGTTTCAGGAAATCATGGCACAACCAAGGGAAGACGATGTAAATGTGATCATCAATCGACTAACTCAACTAGTTCAGACACAATCGAAACAATTAACCAGTTTAGTAAATCAAAGTGGCAATGGGTCAACACCTGTCATGTGGCGATTGGTTTTGCCAAGTTACCTGCCAACTTAAGAGGGCTCAACTAACTTGGTGGAGGCCGAAAATTGGTTCAAAATAATGGAAAGAATGTCAAGTGCCGGATGAAGAGAAAGTCAACTATGAATCTTTCATCCTTAGAGGAGGTGCTAGATAATGGTGGTTTACCATCGAATATCTAGGAAATGTGTCCTAGATGACATGGGAAAGATTCTGTGAGATATTTACTCTGCCAATGTCAAAAATTAGAAAATGGGAGAATTCATTCGCCATTGCCAAGGACCTATGACGGTTGGAGAATACATTAAGAAATTCCAAGAATTATCTCGATTTGCACCACATATGGGATCAATGGAGGCACTAAAGATTGACTGATTTCTGAAAGGACTACAACCAGAATTAAGCAAGGACGTGCAAATGGGTGGAATTGGAGGGTGTACTTTACAGCCATGGACGACCGAGCTCTTCGGCAGAACAAGCTGAGCAGAAAATTATACGAGCACGGGAATTTCAAAATGGACGTTCAATGGCAGCCAAGACTAAACTGGACAGATAAGTTTCAGAAGAAGAGTTACTATCCAGGGACGACGTAACCAACAATGCCCGATGGACACCAAGGAATCCATTGCTAGAGCATATATTATGGAATAAATTTTGATTGAACTCATAAATGACAAAGAAATTTATTGCAATAAAACCCGTATAACATTTAATTAATGTAAGGGCTAAAATATATTCAAGTATCCTACCCTATTACATACACGGCGGTAAATACTACCAAGGATTATTAACTGCGGAAGTTTGTTACCTCGACACCCCTCAATATAGTGAAACAACAAAGCGTAAGATACTTTACAGCAAAGTCTAGCTAGCTTTAGGAAAGAAGAAACCGAACTTCTTCCCTGCAACAAAAATTAAAAAACATGCATGTCCATGAGAGAGAGAAAACACGACTTTTATAGATTCTACGAAACTGAACATTTACGACTTAGGTTTACATAGACTATAAAAAAAAAATTGCAACCTAAATTGTCATGCTAAAAAACCCATAAAAGAGCTCGTAGAAAGATATCAAGGACTGTTACCATAAATATAATAACCGGAGTTCGACTGATAATGCAGAAAAACCAATTTCAACTTAGCACGAACAAGAAGGCAGAGTTCAAAACTGCAATCTTTTGTTCAACATAGAAGTATAAAACGAGAGAATGAGTAGCACTACTCTCTTATCAAAACATAAACCTTAAATTTCCTACATTTAGTTCAAAACTTTAAACAGAAAAATCTATCTTGAAGAAATACATTTTATTCAGGAGAGCATTTTCTTTACATTTAATAGAAACCCTAGTTGTTTAAGCAAGGAACCGAAGCAAAAGATTACTGGCTTGTTTGGTAGGGTAGATTGTATATTATATTAAAACGAAGAAAAAAAAAATCTTGTCTATTCTACGGTATTTACATGTTCAGTAATACAAACCAAAGTAACCAAACATGCATATTCTGTATGTATTACAAATTAGATATGATTTTCGTACCTTGTCCAATTGCGTGATCTCACAAATCTGGCTCATTATAACGCAGTTTACAACTATTTGGGTGCACTAGTTTTTGAAGAACCACATCTTTCGACCATAACATCATAGAGTTGCTTTCCGTTCTGTTCATAAGTAGAAACATTTAGCAGATTAATGAACAAAACAGAAAACTGTCATATGTTACAGACTTGTGACCCAAATAAGACAACCCCTCAAGTTTCACAGCACTTGGATACTTACAAAAATTACTGGGAAAAAGTGCACTTGACCTTCAGGCTTTGTTTGTTTCTCCTTAAAATATACTAAAATAGGGAAATTAGGCCACCACAGCTCCCAGTTCACAAATGTTGAGTACCTGACAATAAAATAATAAAAATTGCTTCTTTCTGAAATTTAGAGGGAAAATAAAAACTATACTTACTTCCAGCGACTTTTTCCTCCCACAAAAGCATTTGGACCTGACTCTTGAAGTTGATCTCCAATTTTTACCTCCTGTAACCAGGTTTTAGAAAATAATTCTCCCAAGATTCTTAGAATAGATTGGCTTCCCATTATAAAAATGAAAACAGAATCTCCATCTCATTAAGCAAAATTATGAAAGATATCTTTAAGCAAAATATACTTAAAGCCTTCCAAGCACATCAGAATTAAGTTTTTGATACATGATCAAATCAGCAAATTTGTTCTCAACTCACATGTCCTTGAGTTTATGAACAAATGTTATACTCAATTTATTTAAGGATGAGCCATATTCAACAATACATCTCTGTAGCAGAAGTGTTTAAAGTAACTGCTATGTACACAACATTGTCAGACTTTTTATCACATATATGTGATGGACCCTGTTAGTGCATGTTTGATGCACAATACTCTGGATAGCATTGAACGGAACAATGAACAAGATTTTAGGCTCTTTTTCTTCCTTAATATTGTCCGATGTCATCCAATCCACCCTGTCAAACTTTGCATTGAAAAATTGAGTCACCTCAATGAAGGTAGTAAATTGTAACGCTGAACAAAACAATGAACAAGAGTTTAGTCTCTTTTTCTTCCTTAATATTATCCAATGTTATCCAATCCACCCTACCAAACTTTGCATTGAAGAATTGAGTCACCTCAACGAAGGAGTAAACCAGATATAGATTGATGTAGGAAGTAAACTTTGAAAACTATTTGAGCATACAAAAGAGATGAATTTGACCTTCCTGCGTTAGTTTTTAAATATTCGTACCTTAAATGGGACAAAATGATTAATGAATTAGACCAGCAGTATCAAAGCATATTTTGGTTACTTTTTTGAAATTGGATGCATTTAAAAGGGGGTGAGCGAACAAACCAGAGCTTCCTCATCGAAGACGAATCTGACTCTTGTTGTCTGAATCAAGGAAACATAAACATCATTAGCCCATCAAGGAAAAAGAGTACGCTGAAAAGACAGCACAACTCAATGAGATTTGCAACTAAGTCAAAAAGGCACTCAAAATTACACTTTCAATCAGCAGGAACAATAGCAGCACAAAAAGTTTGTGAGGGACTAATGGTCTATGATCTCATAAATTATCTGGAATATGCTGATACTTTTCACATATAGAATATCAATGTTACCTGGACTAACAGCAGCAATCCAAGAAGGCCAACTGGGACTGCTGCCAATAAATTATCTACATAAACCAAACCACCAGCTATACCTGCTCTCAATCATCGCACATGCAATAAGAAGAATGTGAAAATGTTTCTATTGATGGGAAAGAATGCCTGATACCAAACAGCATATGCCATGCCAAAAATGAATTTTAGTTAAATATCTTTAGATATACTCAAGGACTGGATAGCAGGACATCTGAAGCAGCATCTTAAGATAACATTTTATCACGCATAAAACAAAGAGCATGCTGGTTTAAGCTTAATAAGTCTATTTATAAGTTAAGTAAATAGCTAAGTTTTAATATAACTAATATTTACTATTGGTTAAAGCTGAAAGTAAGTCACTAAATTTGAGTGCACAAGATGAGTTACTAATATAAATAATTGTTCTCATTGGTTAAAGCTAAAAATATATTAGCCATTTATTTTGAGTGTATGATAAGAGTTATTTTTAAATAAGTAATTTATTTTACTTAATCATAACATATCCGAGTATATCTGGAAAAAATAAGTAAATTTTGCTTTTCTATTAAAAAATAAAAATAAAAAAGCTTTAGCTAAACATGCTCTAAGTAAATTTTGCCTTTTTTGAAGAAAAAAATAAAAATAAAAATTAACATGCTCTAAAATGCAGTCAGTACTCACCAAGAAGGACTACTGGGAGACGGTAATCGGGGTCAGGAATGATAGTCTCTTTCTTAACTTTCCTTCCAAGCTGCAAAACATCAAAATTTATTCCAAATTTAAATTTGTATCTGCTTAATTTATTATCAAAAAACTGGATTTTCAATTCCAATAAACATATACAATAGCAACACAAAAATCAGGACTTGGGAAAAACCAATTGATTAACTCTCATTTGGAATTAAATTAAATCTTTTCCAAGGGGACAATTTCACGTCTTCCAATCAAGGCAATAAACAAAGTTGAACATTTCAAACTTTTCCCTCAATTTCACAATAAAATTCAATGGTAGCAATACGGAAACATTAAAACAAACATCAATCCTGTAAAAGGATATAAAAATTAACCACTGAAGCGATGACAATATGGCTTCTACGAGCAGTTCCTTTATTTCTACTCAAAAGGGAATTGCTGTACGGCATTTGGACACAAAATGAAGTATGAAAATTCCTTCCAAATGCACCCACTTCACCATAATCTGCTTGAAATAACAGAAAACAGTGAATTTCAACCACAAAATTAACCGGAAATCCGAGAAGATAAAAGACAATAAAATCACAATGATATTAATCTGTGTTTGTATGACGAACGCTTAATTGTTGAAGGAACAAAGCGAGAAGCACACAGCAGAGCGCTCTCCATTTTGTAAACGCGGAAGAGTGCTCTCGTTTTCGAAACCAAAGAAGATGAGCGTTTTACTGTTTATGCTGAACGAGAGGTTGTGCATAATGTGGGCAAATTTCATTCATGGTCACTAAACTTTCGGCAAAATCTCATTAGATCACTAAACTTCATTTTAATTCGTTTTCAAGTTAACTCTTATTTGGTAAAATATTAAAAAATTAAATAAATATGTTATAATTCTCGTCTGCAACCCTCGGAATATTCTCGATAGGGTCGTCTGATCATGTCCTGCCTCGTTGCCACCCCTAGTCTATGCCATTTCATCGTACATAATCCTTAAATCAATGTTAATTACTTAGTTGACAAACATGATACAAATAATATATACTGTAAAAATGAAAATAGCAAAATGAGGATTATGACAATGTCATTTTATTTTAAGATTTTATGACGCGGTGTAGTTGTAAACTAACACGATAGACAACACTTAACTAGAAGATTCATTGGAGTATGGCTTCCAATTAAACATTTTTTTTTTCGCAATTTGGGAGAGTGAGTGTAATACGCTAAAATTTTATAAAATGTGAAGGTGACATATAGCGACTTTCAAGAAGTTTTTGAATTTGTTGGTAAATTTCTCTGATCTACTAGGGACCTAAGTAAAGCTATTCCATTAATTAAAGAAAATATAATTAGGGTAAATTATAAATCTAGAAATAATTATTTGCAAAATGTTAAGTTTGAGAATATAGTAATTGCTAAAAAAAATTAATAACTGAAGTTAAAATTATGAAAAAAAATTAAGCTCTTGAAGTCTTGACAATATTGTAATATTTCAGGACCTTAAAACTCAATAATTGGCCCTAAAGTAAAATGATTGCAAAGTTTAGATATTACGTTGCAAGTAGTAACAAATATACGAGTTAAGGAATTCTACATTAGTCGCAAAAGAACCATATTGCATGCTCACGTGCATAGCCGGTCCTGGGCCGAGGCATTTGAGGCCTACGCCTCAGGCCCAAAATCAAAGGGGGCCTAATTTTGGCCCTTTTTTTTTGGTTTTTTTTTTTTAAGGGTTTAGAGAGTTAAAAGCAAAATTGGTTTTTCATTCATTTTTCCTCATGCTTGTGATAGTGTGATCGACGATCCATTTTAATTTCATCAAGACAATGTCACAAATTTTTTGGGACAACTTTAGAGTCTATATGTCATTTTAATTTTGTATTTTTTCTGTAAATTTGTAACGCTCAAATTTTTGCGTAAATAATCGAAAATGTTATTGGATGCGCAAAATGAAAAATGGGAATTTGTTCAACATATCTTGATCCAAGAATGTGTGTTCTATTTGAACATGCATCACGTTTGGTGTTCATTTACTATTTAGCGTCCCTGACTGGCATAAGGCAATAGGGCATTGTGTAATGATGAAATTTTTATTCCAGGCTTATAAATTGTGACGGTAGAATTCTCAAGGGTGTGATTCCATAACTTTCATCGAAATTTTACTTCTCAATTCAGCAACGACTTGAAGGGCGGAGGCGAAAGAAGGGGTTGAAATGGCGTAGAAGGCGAAACTATGGGTAGTAGAAGGCGAAAAAATAGGGTTGTGAGGAGGGCACGGTGGCATAGAGAGAGGTGAAATAGCTGATTGACAGTGGTGCCGAATTAGACTCAAATGAACTAAAGTAACTGTTGGAAAATTTATGTCAATTTCTTTTAATTTTATTTATTAATAAGATCTTTTGTTGTTCAAAAGAATATTAACAAATAATGAAAAATAAAAAATATCACGTACAAATTAAACGAACCGTAAAAACTTTTCCCTATATGAAAATTGTTATAACCATATAAAATTTCACTCACCAACCCAATCTCCAATTATTACAAAGAAAAAAACTCGAGATTTATCACACGATCCATTTTAATTTCATCAAGACAATGTCACAAATTTTTTGGGACAACTTTAGAGTCTATATGTCATTTTAATTTTGTATTTTTTCTGTAAATTTGTAACGCTCAAATTTTTGCGTAAATAATCGAAAATGTTATTGGATGCGCAAAATGAAAAATGGGAATTTGTTCAACATATCTTGATCCAAGAATGTGTGTTCTATTTGAACATGCATCACGTTTGGTGTTCATTTACTATTTAGCGTCCCTGACTGGCATAAGGCAATAGGGCATTGTGTAATGATGAAATTTTTATTCCAGGCTTATAAATTGTGACGGTAGAATTCTCAAGGGTGTGATTCCATAACTTTCATCGAAATTTTACTTCTCAATTCAGCAACGACTTGCCCTAGCTTGTTATTGAATATGTTGGAAATGTTTGAAGTCTTGTCGGCTTATATGATTGGTTATTTTATGATCAACAATTGCATAAACGTACGTGGTAACTATATTGAAAACTCCAATTGTGAGATGATTGAGATATTTCGTAATTGTCTTTCAGGTTAATCACTGAGTATTAGGTTGCACAATATACCGTTGAAATAATATATTTGATTGTTGTTTTAATGTTAAGTTTTAAATTAGTAATAGGATGCAAGATATACCGTTAAATTTTGCATTTACGTTGATTTTGTCCGGGCCCAATTTATGGACTTCGCCTCGAGCCCCGACGATCATGGGATCGGCCCTGCTCACGTATCTTTGAATATTTATGCTTTGATTGCCAGTTGTTAGTGTATAATTCCCAAAAAATCTTATAATGTCATATTTTAGTTTCTACAAGCAATAAATTTGATGAATTCGAGTTTACACTTTTAATGTATGTATTTTAGTTTAAAAGAATTTTGTTCTATGAGTTATGTATCTTTAATAGTTGCAACTTTTCTTTCACACATTTTCATGAAACAAATCCTTTACTTTTGTACAATCGCAACCTTTGGAAGGTCGTGAGTTTTGGTTGATGGCCATGTTCAAAAGTTATATAAGGGCCTTTCAATTTTCCATTTAATCATCAATTTTAGATATACTTTACATACAATTTTGCGTTTAGTTACATACCAAGAATTTGTAATCTAGTTTCAAACGTTTGATTTGCAAATCAAAAGTTTTGTTCATTGATTCCTTCGTGATGACGATGTTAAATCATTTGAAACATAATGCATGATATCCTAGGAGGCAGACCTTGGACTCTAGGAGAGCAAATTCAATCCATTGATTATTTCAGATGACTTTTTAGATCGTATTGTAAGTCGAATTTAATTTTTATATTAATTTGATTGCTTTGCATATCCTTCTTCATGATCAGAAATTACATTATCCCTAACCTCTACTTTGGTTTTGATTAGTATAATTATAATGTTGTCAATTATATAAATCTTTATTACGTGTAGAAAGTGTAATTTAAATAATTTTTTCCTTTTTTAATTATACAACCTATTATTTTCCACGCTTTTTCCCTTTTAGAAAATTTTGAAGTTAGTCCCAAACTATGTCCTCTGTGGCTAGATTGTCTCTAGCTTTAATTTTTGGGGTATTTCAGTAGCTAATACTGTTATTGTACGTGTAGTCATCATTAATGAATAATTTAATATAGAAGTAAAATAAATAAAAGCTGAAAAATAGAAGGAATGGTTACAGTGTGAAGGTGAAAGGGAGGCATTAATGGGTCAGGGCGGAGGCGAAAGAAGGGGTTGAAATGGTGTAGAAGGCGAAACTATGGGTAGTAGAAGGCGAAAAAATAGGGTTGTGAGGAGGGCACGGTGGCATAGAGAGAGGTGAAATAGCTGATTGACAGTGGTGCCGAATTAGACTCAAATGAACTAAAGTAACTGTTGGAAAATTTATGTCAATTTCTTTTAATTTTATTTATTAATAAGATCTTTTGTTGTTCAAAAGAATATTAACAAATAATGAAAAATAAAAAATATCACGTACAAATTAAACGAACCGTAAAAACTTTTCCCTATATGAAAATTGTTATAACCATATAAAATTTCACTCACCAACCCAATCTCCAATTATTACAAAGAAAAAAACTCGAGATTTATCACACCTACTTTTTTACCTTATAGGACCCCCCCGGGCGCCGATTAGCCCCTGTTTGTGACTGCTCAGATTTTGGAGTGGGGGTGGTCCGGGTCGAAGATGAAGTTCACGTTCTTATTTTTGATTTTTGATTTAATTTTATTATAAATATATAATTTTACTAGTTTACCCTCATTTAATTCGTCAATTTGAGTCAAAATTCAAATTTCAATGTTGACCAACGGAATTATGTATAGAATCTACTAATGGACTCCAATTGCCATCAAAGCAAAAGGTTTGGGATCGTAGCCACAAAAATGAAATGTTAAAGTATATTCTACAACAAAATGAAAGCTTTGAGATCTTCGTTGCAATTTTCCCTAAAAATAATGGTATTTAGCACACATTTTTCCCATAAATAGGGGAGATTTCAAGGGTATTCTCTCGAGTTGCTTTTACGGAACCAAAACTCACAGAAAAGTCACAGATCACTCCAGGGCGGAGGCGAAAGAAGGGGTTGAAATGGTGTAGAAGGCGAAACTATGGGTAGTAGAAGGCGAAAAAATAGGGTTGTGAGGAGGGCACGGTGGCATAGAGAGAGGTGAAATAGCCGATTGACAGTGGTGCCGAATTAGACTCAAATGAACTAAAGTAACTGTTGGAAAATTTATGTCAATTTCTTTTAATTTTATTTATTAATAAGATCTTTTGTTGTTCAAAAGAATATTAACAAATAATGAAAAATAAAAAATATCACGTACAAATTAAACGAACCGTAAAAACTTTTCCCTATATGAAAATTGTTATAACCATATAGAATTTCACTCACCAACCCAATCTCCAATTATTACAAAGAAAAAAACTCGAGATTTATCACACCTACTTTTTTACCTTATAGGACCCCCCCCGGGCGCCGATTAGCCCCTGTTTGTGACTGCTCAGATTTTGGAGTGGGGGTGGTCCGGGTCGAAGATGAAGTTCACGTTCTTATTTTTGATTTTTGATTTAATTTTATTATAAATATATAATTTTACTAGTTTACCCTCATTTAATTCGTCAATTTGAGTCAAAATTCAAATTTCAATGTTGACCAACGGAATTATGTATAGAATCTACTAAT